ATCTGTTCGCGGTGCAAGTTGACCTTGAGAGTTGAAGGCCCGCCCGCTCGTGTAGGCCCTTTGGGCGCGCTTCAATTTGCCTCACTTAGCGTGTGCGGACTAGGTTTCAATGCGTTATTATTCTAAATTTGAACACATCTCGAAGTCACTTAATCGTAACTAAAAATTATTATTTATTACTATTTACTTCGATTCCTGTGGGAGTACTTCACAATATTCTCTACTGTCCAGAGATTTAATAGGTGGTAGAAATGAACTCCCGTTATACATTTTTCGTATGGAACTATTGATTACTTTACCATGGTGTTCCTAGTTACATTTCTTCCATTTTTCGTAACATTTCATCTCTCGCGTAATGTGTGATTTACTTTTGTTTCCAGAGCAACCTTCGTAACATTTAAGAGCGATGAAATTTTTTCTCTACTTGTAACAAAGCCGAGACGTAGACTGAAAACGGATAAGAAACTTTTAAGGTTCGATTTTTTTACAAAAAAAGTGTTTTTTTTTGCATCAATAGTAATGTATTGTAAAAGAGAAGTTTTTACGTAACAATATTATTATGATTATTTTGTTTCCAGTCTTTGACTTTTATTTTTAAACGGTTTTCCAGATATTATTCAGTTTGTGCGTATTAATTGAAAATTAGATGAATACACTCTCCGTATTCATATCTGTAGTCATATGAAAAATCATTCATAGAGTTGAACTAAATCTAAAATAACCAGATCTTTACAAAATTCTGGTATTTTTGTAAACTTTTTTTTAAACTGCTTTTAACCATGTAAATACTATTAAGGTACATTATCAATAAATAATTTTGACAGTGAGTGATTTGTGCCAAATTGGTGATTGGTGATAGATCATATTGATTAGAGTGCCCCAAATACAACCACTCCTTATTTCACGATTATCACTACTTGAAGGTTTCCTACCATGGTGTGCATTGATTTTTCTGCCTATATATCACAGCGGTAAGGGTGAGGCCAGATGAACCCAATTTTGTGAGTTGTAAGTAGCGTTTTTTGAGTTGCGCAATTTACGTTCGACTGAAATTCGGTTGAGTCGTTTGTACGGTGTTTGTGTCATACTCGTATACTTAATTACCGCACACAAAAATATCACTATTTATCTTGCTGTAGTGTTCTATATTGATTCAAAATAAAATGTTTAATGTATGTAAATCATTGAATTTTTAATCAACTTCACAAAAAGGACGCGATTAAACGAAATTTTCGAACTGATTTCGATGATTCTTTTTTTGTTTGGAAAGAGAGACTTCAGTATTGGTTCCATATAAATTTGAAAATATTCCACCTCTAAGGGTGGTAACCTCTAGGTGATGAATCCGGTTTCGCCAACTTTCCGGTAACCGATCTCAATAAAACTTGATAAATAGATGCAATACCACGACCTCCAATTTTTTTTTAACGTTGTTGATACTTCTCTATGGAAAAGCATTAGGCGGTAATTCCAAAGCACTTGGGAATCACACTTTATATAGGTTCTTGTAATTACAGATTTTTAGACGAAATAATTTTCTAATTAAAGGCTATAGAGCCAATGCTTATTAAATAAAAAATAGTCTTACTCCTCATTTACGAGTTTCCGGAATAAATGGCGGAATTTTGTATCTTATTTATGTCTCTGTAGCCAATACTGAATAAATAAAAAAAAAATCACGCGTAAAAAAATAATAAATAGTTTTGTAGATATAGTTTTTACGCGAATTAATTTTTAGTATAAGTACGTTTTGAGTTGTTATTTTGTTAAGCCTTGACTCTGTAGCCTGTGTTAAAAAAAATCTAACGTAACTGTTTTTTGACGGTCTGTAAAATCGCTTCAAGCGTACAAATCCAAATAACTGCCACACACTGATATATTTATTACTAACATCTCAATGGACAGATTGAAGCCAATTTGATCAAAGGAAACGTATATTCAATCAATGTAATGACTGCAATCAATATTGTAATTCTTTATAGTCAAAAGATATTGCCTGTATCAAAGACTGTTTTAAGATTGGTACATGTGCCAATTCCTCTTATGTTTAACTGCACCGACCAAGCAAATACATCAGGTTTTAAATGGCATAAATAATGGGCACTTATTACTTCAAAGAAATAAAACGATATTAGGTATATTGTAGATTTTAACGCTTGCATGGTTATTCACTAAATGATTATTATCACTAATTACAGGTTTCTTACCACGGAATGAGTTCTTTTTATTTTCTGAAATACAAGGAACTTGTATCATGGTAAGAAACCTGTAATTAAAGAAAGACTGTTTTAAGATTGGAACTCGTGCCAATTCCTCTTACGTTTAACTGAACTGACCAAACAAATACTTCAGGTTTTAAATGGCATAAATAATGGGCACTTATTACTTCAAAGAAACAAAACTATATTAGGTATATTATAGATTTTAAAGCTGTTTGCTTATTCAATAATGTTCTTTTTATTTCCTTAAATGGTAAAAAGCCTGTAAAAATTCTGTACGGTATAAAACCGCAAAATTTCTTTTTACTTGGGAATATAAGAGCATTACCAAATTGAGTACACACACACGTTTTAAATTTCAAGCAAAAAAATGGGTAAAAAGTGGCAATATAGTGTTACCATGAATACCTAGGTACTTGGAGCAATATTTTTTTATAACTCAAATAAACATGTTACAAATGAATCCGAAATTGAACTTTTCGATATCTCTACTAACATCAGTGATATTAATAGTTCAAAATCATTGGTTAAAGTCATGCTCTGTCCCTTTTTATCAAAACACTTATCAGTGTGTAGTTTGTGTAGCCATTAAAGGTTGTGACGTCACATACAGTATTGCCGTTTCTTTCCTGCTCCTGATTTATGAGTGGTTTATAAATATTTTATATTTCAACAAATATGAATTCTATCACACTTTTGGCATTATGTTTATTTTTTATCGTTAACTAATTGCTTCTAATTTTCGGTACTGCTTACATACCTACTTTATTATTAATGAGGGTTCATACACCAAGTTTTTGTTTTCCATAGCAGGAAAAGTAATTACAACGGTGATTTAGTAAATAAAAAATATTACAACTCAGAAGCAAAACCTCGCAATGGGCCATTATATTCATTTGTCGGCGAGTCGAGAGAGGCCCTTTTTCAATGGATTTCTACGGCATTGTCGCGGAATAATTGCCGGTGCGCCGGCGCAGCGCATAAGTTTTTATGTAACCTTGGACGGTCAGATTACAATCAAAATGATGGTCAATTTAGAACTGCACGCTGACGAACTACTACAGTGATTTCTTACGATTAGACGTTTAAAAAATTTTAATGCCTCTTCACTTCATGTTTGATGTTAAACATAATAACTGCCACTTAAATCATTATAATTTTTTTTACTATAGAATCATGTCAATTTGTTAATTTTTTTAACAGGCAAAAAAAACATACCATTACTTATTTCTTACATTGCTCAATAAATGTTGCGATGAATGTCCAAGAATGGGTACGGTACGTCCGCCATTTCAAGAGTTAAATGTCTTCTATAAAATATACTAAATAACTTAAAATCAATGTTATATAAAACTATGAAATATCGACCTAATTCTAAAAAAGTGATTGACCGATAACTTTGGAATTTGTACGATTAATCATTATAAAGTACATATTTAAGTACAGGTCGCTAGACTAGCGTTGTCGTTTGCGAACAACATTTATAGGAAGTAAGGATTATTTAGGTTTCAAAGAGATTAGCTGCCTTGTATCTAAACTACTAGTATTAAGAGGCTTAAAACTTTGTAATGTTGTACAATCCACGGTGTAAAACACTCAACAAAACCATTACTTGGACTTTGACTTGACTTATTCCAGTCTAAAATACTATAAGTCCGTCACTCGTGAGATTTTGGAGATCTGGTTGGGTCAACGGGTGTGTTGTAACTCAGTATCCCTTTCTGAAGTACATAACTCGTTGTCTGTGATTTAATTCTACCAAGAACCCCTTGCCGTCAATTAAAAAATCAAACAGCCGGATTTCGTGACATCCGTCCGTCACAAAAACCAGTCTGAGCGGCCTTGCCATTGTCTCTCAGCCAGTAATTTACTGCTTTTTGTTCCACGACCTTTGTTTAACCTGTAACTTCAAGTTGCCCTTAGAAATGTACGATTTCACGATGAAGTTTATAACTTTAGGAAGGGACTGTGTACCGTCTAGGCTCTCGGGTTTCTCTCAGAGAAAAGTAAGGAGACTGGTATCATGACTGTGGCATCACAGTATATTTACTCAAATATTTTATATGCCCGTAAAAATATACATAATTTCAATAAGAAAGAAGATATCCATAATATTAACCTTAGAGCTAAGTCCAAACTTTTACCACGATTTCGTTTAACCAAGGTAAACAATTCTTTTATGGGGAACTGTATACGTTTTTACAATAAGATTCCGGAGCATATATTAAGTTTATCATTTCCTAGTTTAAAAACTACATTAAAAATATTTTGATCGAAAAATCATATTACAAAATTGAAGACTACGTGTTAGATAAAGATGTATGGAAAGACGACATGGCTCCAGAATCCACACAAATTTGATTCAAAGTGTATTCCATAGCATTTAAGTTTATTTGAAAAGAGCAATCCCTAGAGTTTCTTGCTCGTTCTTCTCAGGGAGGTCAGCGTAGTGAACGAGCAGTAGCTTAAATGTGACGTTTTCAAGTGTAAATTTATTTTACCTATGGAATAAATAATTTTTGACTTTGACTTTGACTTTGACTTTGGACTTTGAAATTGACAAAGGTATCGTAAAAGAATAAATAATGTTTTTGAATTAACATCGATAAGAATCTTGAGAAAGAAGAAACTATTTAATAATATTTTTGATCTTTTTTGGTCCTACGTAAATTAAGTCAGGCAAATGCCTGAATTAATTACTACTAAAACCACTTATTATTATTAATATATCGAATTCCTGTGATCTTTAGCAGTACTAATGGTAACAATTGCTTGTTTCAGATGGCATCATTCGCTGGTATTATATCCAGCGGCTGCTCGGTCCACGCTCGCTTCCTCCTCTGCTCGGCGTTCGCTCCATTCTGCTCGGAACAACTCTCTGTTTCAGTCAGCGCTTGCAGAGCTCTATGCGAAACAGTTGCCGAAGACTGCAAGGAACAACTGAAAATGCTTTCCCCGAACGTAATGTTCGACTGCGCAGCGTTCCCTCTTCGGGCTGACAAAAGACTTTGCATGAGACCACCAAACGCCAGCGACCTGGAGCCTGAACCCCCACCACCACCTCGTTGGCCTTACGAACACGAACTCCGCGAACACGGTTGCCCACCAGCCCACGCCAGAGCCCCAACAGGTGAATGTTGGCCTGCATGCGGCCAACACGCCCAATACACGCAATCCGAAAAGCGAACAGCTGAAATATGGATGACAGTTCTAGCTTGGCTGTCTCTACTGTCCACATCAATAGCCTTGCTAACCTATTGCGTTGATCCATCAAGATACAGATACCCAGAACGACCAGTCGTATGGATGGCTGCTTGCTACACGATAGTCGCATTGGCACATGTAACAAGAGGATGGCTAGGCGCAAAGATGGTGTCCTGTTCTGGCTCAACATTAGCCGTCGATGGATTAGCGTCTCCTACTTGCGTAGAGTTCTTCTCTTTGACGTACTATTTCACTCTGGCAGCCGATGCGTGGTTCGCAAACGCTTGTGTAGCATGGTATTTGACAGCTGCCAGCGAATGGTCGACGGAAGCGTTAGAACGAGCAGCCGCATATCTTCACGCTGTGGCTTGGGGCTGGGCTGGTGCTTGGACTGCAGCCGCTTTAGCGCTAAGACGAGTCACGGCTGACGAACTGACCGGTACATGTGGAATATCCGATGCAGCAGCCGCAGCGCTAATTGGTGTACCTCGAGGCGCCTTACTGGTTACATCGATAGCACTAGCAATCGGAGCGTGCCCAGGGATAATGAGAGTTCGAAGAGCATTGGATTCCAGGGGAGCACGAAGAGTTGGGAGGTTAGCAGCTAGAGCAGCGGCTGTTGGTTTCTTGTATCTTATTTTAGCATCATTTGCAACGGGAAGAAGGGTTTTCGAAGCTCGAATGAGAGTGACAGAAAGTGGACTAGCATTGATAGCTGCTTTAGAAGCCGGTGAACTCGAAAGCATCACGAAATCTGGTAGTCTGTCTATTTGTTTGTGGTTAACTTGTGGCATTGCATCTGGTATTTGGGCATGGTCTAGGAAATCTGCCATGGTGTGGAAAAAGGTGTTATGTTCACCAAAGAAGGCACCTTGCTGTGCCCCTCCACTGTTAAGACCACATCACCCGTATTGCAAACGACCGCTGCACGTTTCTCGGGTATGATCATGGTGTGTAAGCGACTTTCGAAAGACTTTATACTTATGTAATAAACTTGTGTATTCAATGGACTTAAAAAGTGCCTGTCTGTATATTGCCTTCTGTGAAGGCATTCTCGATTATGTAAATTTTGTAAATAATGTAAATTTTATTAAATATACTGTTGACTTTTCATATAAACATTTGTCTTATTTCGTAAGAACTCCCTATAGAAAGAGAAAGTATATATTGTTAAAAAATCTTCATCAAACTCCAGTTTTATTCAGTCAATTTGATCAGCTGTATCACAAGGTAGAAATCGTAATTTATTAGGATATGTTATATGCGCTCGCAGACTTCCCTGCTTTTCGGTAAGAAATTGGAAAAAAAAGTGGCAACACTGTTCTAAGGACCAAGGTCACGAAACAATTTAAAAAATCTAGTGATTTTTCACGACTGATGAGTACCATCCTATAAGGATTGGTACGATGTTTATTCGAAAAAATAACTTTTCACTCCATTCATAGGTTTACCATTTTTGAATTGTGTCAGCATTGAAACTGGTGTGAGATATAAAAATAATTTGATGAAATTTACACAATCATTTATTTAGGTGTTTGATTTTTTACTTAGCTACGTTTTATAAATAAAAGTTTTGTTCAGTTAAACATATTTTTATTAATAAACCGTTAAATATACATTAATAGTAAGTTGATATATCTCTCTATACAAAAAAGGAAACATTTGATAATATTACACAATTTACAATTTTATCCAGTCCAAAAATATAGTAACCCTGATAATTGCATTATTACACACAAAGTTTACAAATTTATTAACAAAAAATTAACTATAGATTATAAGACTTATGCGTTTTTCAATAAATGAATATCAGTATGTAGCTATAGGTTTATTACTACGGGACAGAAATAAGTCGTAGCGTAGTAAAGAAACCTTAACATGCGACGATCATTTAAAAATTGAACTAAAATATATGTTTTTTACTATTATCGTCAAGTAACAGAGTTTTGGTTTTCTGAAATTATAACCAGGTAAAAAAATCTGAAATTTTATCGTATTTATGGCTGGGGCGACAAACGTGATTTTTTTCATCCACACTGTCAGTTTGCCAAAAAGTACTTTTTTTAAATTAATCACTAAGTAATCGAGGGTGCGACCATTAGCTTTTATTCTTCTCTCTCATCTCCAACAAACTAAGTTCATAAATGTACGCTTTAATGGCATGTACACTGATATTTAAATATTTCTTTACATTGTGTTATAAAGAAAAGGCAGTACAAGCCTGGAATGTGACATATACAACACTACTACATAATTTAATTTCCTAAAATATCCCAATATTAAACAGTATACACCAGGTAGGCCGTTATCAACTTGAAACTAAATTATAATTTAAAAATAACAAACATGACTCTCAGTTTAGTTACGTAATTGAATTGAACGACAAAATATTGCTGTCCTAATTCATGTTTAATCGATTGTAAATATAATAATAATAGACAGGTGACGATGAATTTATATAAGGCGTTGGATAGCTGTAGTAGTAGATTAATGGGGTATTTAGAAAAATACGTTTCTCATACAAAACTGAGGGTTATACTTGCTCTGTTCTGAAGTAATTATATTTAGTACATTGTAATGTACAGTCGATACCCTAAGATACCTGACCTAAGAGCCTTCTTACGTATTAATACGTAATAAGGAAGTCATACCAAGGAACCAAATGACCGGTGTCAGGTACCTTAGGGCAACGATTGTACAACATTGGGCGTTTAGCACTTTTCCCATTATAGTAGTCTGGGTTTCGGGGGTTAACATTTCGTTAAAAATTTATTTACGTTTGGAAAAAATGCAATAGTGTAAACACACTGATACATTTATAATTTTATAACCGGAACTGTTATTTATATTCTATATTATAATACTGCACTAATTTTAATTATTGGTATGTGATCTATCACTATATTTCACTAGTCATTTGTATTTATAAATAATTTTTAAAGACATCGTATCTCTTCTGAAGACATGTCGTAACCAGCTATACGGGAATTGTAATTTGTGGTTCAGCACTTGAGCTAAGGCCGTGTCTAACTCGTTCTACCAATCTTCTTTTCATCGTATAGATGGCAAACGCTATATTATTGCGGCTGAAAATTTAGCCACACTAAGAATAGAGTCAGAAATTAGGAAATCCGTAGGAGAACTAAGTTAATCGGCATAGCTTGAAGAATGGTTCAGCTTAAGTGGTAGTGGGCGGGGCACTTAGCTAGGAGAACCGATAGCCATTAGAGCGGAAAGTTTCTACAATGGCGACCGCGCACCGGACGACGCTCAGTGGGTAGGCTCCCCCACCAGGTGAACAGACGATCTGGTAAAGGTCGCGGGAAGCCGATGGATACGGGCAGCGCAGGACCGATCGTCGTGGAGATCGTTGGGGGAGGCCCATGCCCAACAGTGGGCGTCGTATGGCTAAATGATGAAGACGATTAGTAGTGAATACCTTTTAAAAGCTTTTGAACATCTTACGACATACAAAAATGCCAAATCGACTGTGAACTGCATTGACCTTTGGTAGGTCAATGGTGAACTGGCAATCGGTACTCAATTTTGACAACTTTACAGGTGAAGAAAAAATTGTTCGCGTCATTTATGTAGCATCTGGTTTACGTTATAGAGACTCCTTGATTTGTGGGTTCTAGGACCCTTGGTCGAGAATCATATGTAAATTGCACACGTAGACACCGAAAAGTAGCAAAAAGGCCAAAAGTCCGCCGATGGCGCGTAAAAGACAAAACCATCTGACATCTATATGACAGACGTCAGTTTACAGTCAAAAGAACTACTAGGACAGGAACATAAACTAGATGCTATATAAATGACGCAAACAATTTTTTTATTCACCTGTAAAACGCAAATTAGAAAGATCTGTAAAGTTGTCGAAATTGAGACAGTACCGGTTGCCAGTACGCAGTCGAATTACCGCAGTTAGAAGGACGACATAGGACCATGTAATGGATTATTATTACACACGCAATTTTCAATGTTTGTCTAATAAACACTTTCTTTCTGTTGTACATAAAATCATGGACATAATTCAAAAAGACTGCTAATCTCCATATTACAGATCGTGTCTTATATCTAGGTGACGCTGATGGACAGCCTGGAAGAAGTTAATATTATGTAAATGTGAAATTAATGTAAAATATAAGTCGGTTTTTTCCTTGTAGTTATTATTCAAATGGTCACGAGTTAAAATTATTATCTGAACTTTGACAAATATGCATGTCAATAGATGGCATTGTGTGTTACAAACTAATTTATAAATTAACGCTTCCTAATGTGGGTAGATGGCGCTAATCCAAAACAAGAGTATAACCGGTACTGTCCATAAAAATCTATGTAATAAGCGCCATCTAGTTAATTTGTTTGCTATCACTAGAAATTAAAGTATTATTATTTCCTTTATGGCGACTAATGGGCTTGTGCCAATGTCAGTGCTTTGATAAACTGCAGTTTGTCAATGTAAAACGAATTCTAAAAAAATAGCAATTTGGTTCTTGTCGCGACATCTGGTAATAGGTACTAAATACCCGACTACGCTGTTTTGTTTTATTTTTAATTTAATTTTCGAAGGGAGGTCTGGAGACGTATTGCAACGTCCTTGGTCTCGAAGGGTCGAGGCCAAGGACGTTGCAATACGTCCGAAACGTGGAGGTAATTAAAATAAAAACATATTTTAGCTTTAAGCTTTCATCGTCATGGGATCCAGTTATCAGCAAATGTAAACGACATCAAGTATCGCCCGAAAAGTCGTCGAATGTTGTGAGTGTTGTGTGTCGGTCTAGTGAGAACCTTAGTGCACAAATAAAAAACAAAGATCAAGTGCGGGTAGTTAGAAAAACTCGCACGGCTAGAAGATACTGACACCCGCCTCTTCAGTCCCGTCCGAGAATATGGACGTTGCAATATGTCCAAAACATCGAGGTAAATAAAATATGTTTTATACGTGATTAAGTCCCGAATTAAAAATCAAATAATGTGTGAAAATCGTGAAAGCTTAAATCAAAGTACGCTCTTTTGTATCGCAATTAGCAATCCTTTCGTGTTTATTGGTCCATGATAAAACGTAAGATGATTTTTTTTATTTGATAGTAGTTGTACTATTTTTTTTTGTAAATTCAT